CATCCGAATGGCGGAATTAAATTTTAATTTTAATCGCCAAAAAAGAATAAACAGAACAAACACATGGAGCCATACAAGGAAGCGACTTATTCATCCCATATGTACATATGTATATGCATGTATTTATGTACATTTGTATGTACACATAATGGGGATCGGCGTGCAGACAAATAAATTTCCAAGCAGAAGGCAAACGGCCGCTGTGCAGCGCATCAGAAAATGCAAGCGCACAGCTGCGGTGCAAATATTAGTAGTCTCCGCACAAAGCCAACCAGTGAGACTAATTAAATAAATATTTTCAAAGCAAACATAATAAAATATAAAGAGAAATGCACTTCCTCATGACTAAGGGACTAACATGCATTTCTTTATTAGTACAAGAGTGACACATTTGTACTAATTTGTTTAACAAATCATTATACTTACGTATAGTAAAAAGATCTTGCTACATTAGCCATCCTCCAATTAAATATATACTGGATCTTATGGGAATTAGTTACAATGACCATATTTCTCTGCCCCCAGCTGTACACGCATCGTGGAATTTAATAAACACCGAACACAGAACAAAACAGAACCGAACGCAGGCATAAAGGCTGCGGATTTGTACATAAATCCCAGCGAGACGATCGCCAGAGCCTCAACAACAACAGCCATGGAACCCAGACAACAACAACAACAACATGTTGAACAGGTCGCGGACTTCAGGTAAAACGGACAAGGGACAACTACAACAGCAACAACAACATCAGGCGGCAGGAAGTATGCAAGTGCGAGCGAGATGGCGTCGATAAGTGCCACTGATAAATATCGATAAATGGGCAAACAGCGCAGGTAGTGGAAAAGACCAGAAAAACACCAAAGAAAACTGAAGCGGCTGAGTAGGGGTTAAAAAGATGACGAGGGGGGGCGAGGGTGCGACAGAATAACAACGAAAACAACAAACCAAAAATCCAGAATAACCAAAAAAGAAACAACCAAAACAGCGAGCCACAACACAACTGTAAAAAATGCAACAAGAAGAACCTGCTTGTAACGCAACAACAAGGCGAGAGGGAGAAGGCAACAAGAACACGAAAAACAACGCGACAAAGTAATGGAAAAAATTGTTAGAGGCAGGAGTCTAAAATTAAAACAAGCGCGAAGGAGATAGACATACAGAGAAAGAGAAGGATGGAGAGCCAGAACGAGTTAGCGGGAGCGAGCAGGAGAGTGCAACGTATGCAGTTATTTATGTAGGCGCAGCAGCAGCAATTGTTGTTGTTGCTTGCTTGCCATTTTGGAGGCCCGCACAGATGAAAAGTCGGAAAATCGTGTAGAAAATCAAATTGCAAAGTCAAACTCCACTTGGACCGTAATGTTGCTTTCGCTTGTTATTTGTTGTTATTGTTTTTGTTATTTTTGCTGCAATCGTGATGTCAGGGCGCATGCGTTAAAAACCGAAATGCCGCTTTCCTATTTAGCCGTCATCTCAACAATGTTATGGCGTCGCAGCATCCATGCCGCCTAAAGGGTATCCCCATTCCGCCACAATGTTGGCAACAGTTTCCTTCAAGGGCTTTCCACTTTACTTTACATTTTTCCTTTAATACTCGCCCGAAGCTTGGAAGTGGACGGAAATAGAAAGCGGCTATCGAAAACTAGTCATCTGTTAATCCAACTGGAAAAAGGGTATCACGAGGATTGAATTAAGTGGGCTTTAGGCTCGCATACCCCTTGTAGGGCGGGTATATCAAAATGGTGGTACTATAGGTAACAATTAAACCACAGGCAAATCCATAAATTTGATAAAAACTACTGATAAAATCACTGAAACAATTTATATGTTCGTATTTTCCCTGTTATTTTAGGTAAATAAAATGGAGTTAGATCAAATAAACAAACTCTTATCAAGAATTTTTGTTAGATAAAAGGTAATAATCTTTTCGAAAGCACCCTATTATGATAATATTTTGTCGAGTTTTCCCTTTATAGCATGTTATCGAACTAAATTGTATGTTTTTTTCCTTTTTATTGATCTGTTTTGTCCTTTCACTTTCACTTGTTTTCTCGTGTATTAATTTAAATATGTTTTTTTTTTTTTTAATTTTAGTAATATCTTACTTGTTCTCAGTTTTAATATTCTCAAACTATGCAAAGGGTATGAAAAAAAAACTTTAACTATTTGGGTAAATTTTGTGTTTCATTTGGGGAAAACGCACACGAAATATATGCGGCAGTGCGTTCCAGAGTTTATAGAACTCCTGAAGGTTTCGGTGGTGGAGACAGTGCTGATGTTGGTGGTGGTGCACCCGAAGGGGTGTTTTTGTCCCAGCTGGGGGTTGCTTCACTTTGGTGCTCCCTCTCCAAACGAAGAAATGGAGGCGGAGGGCAAGAGAAGCAGTGACAAAATGCGCACATATAAATAGAATCTTGCATTGCGACGTAGTAGCGATTAACAAAAAAAAGTACAATAAGAAAAGAACACACGAGGAAAACAATTATAAATTGCGTTATAATTTCAGTGATATGAAAGCGGTGGGAACGTTTATCAGTCAGCGGTTTGGGGTCTGGGGTTCAATAGACCCGAATGCAACGCAAATCCAAGTTCTATATACGAAGTACATTCAACAATAAACACTGTCTGTGAGGGACATGGACGCTAATTGGGCTGTCAAACGGGTTAATGACACCGATATCAGTGCCGGGCGGGTCTGATTGATAGGAAGAGCTCTTTGAAATGGTGAAACTGTATTTTAGAAAGTCTATCCAGCTAATATTTCATAAATAATTGAAATGTGTATAAATTAAACTTATGCGAAATTTAAATAGTGGAATATACAACAATGATACATAAACACTAAGAGAGCTGTCTGAACCAACCGTTATAGATCAGAAATGTTTATATCTGCATGAATAATATTAATTACTACTTAATTATTGACAATTACTTACCGTTTCACCATTTTGTTGGTTACCCCGAGTTGTTTTCCTGCTGAGTGCCAATATCAACGGATCTGTTATAATCCAGTTTTGATGTAAAGATTTTAATGCGACGGAAATTAATTTTGCCGATCTTTTTGGTAAACCTTTAAAGTAATCAACGGAGATATGCATAAGTTGTATTATTATTTCATTTTTAATTGCTGTTTGCAACGCGTCGACGACTTTTACTTCCTAGAATTGGAAGGCGGAACATTCAGGGGGCGCAGCGCAGCAGGAGTCCAATTGGAAAACAAAGCGGCCACGAAAACAAGAAAAAGAACAACAAAAAAATGGAAGAGCGAGAGCGAAATGAATGCCTCAAATGAAGTATGTACATAATTTTATTTATATTTCATGCGTTAATTGCTTTGCTTTTTATTATTCTGCTGCTGCTGCTGCGACGCCAACGCAACGCTTTAATATGTATTCTTGTTGTTGTTTTTTTGTTTGTTTCTTATTTCGTTGCACGGAAAAGCACTTTATTGATCCGCTTTCGCCGTAATTATATTCACGTTTCTGCATTGAGTGGAAAACGGCGGAGATTAGCACGCAATATGAATGCACTTTAGATTCTTCTCCCCTTCTCCAATCCTCCGCCGCTTTTCCGCTTTTCCACTTTCCTTGCGGCGCTTAGTCACTCGCACACACACACAAAATATTCACACTCTGCCAGCGATTTGCATTCGCATTTTCATTTTTACCTCTCGAACGCGATTTATTCTGCAATTTCTGCCCTGCCCCCGCTTTTATTTATATTTCTGCTATATTGCACACAGAGGGACTTGGATTTTCCCGTGTTATTTATCTATACACATAAACAAAGCTCGCGGCGTTTGGCTTTTCCGCATCTCGCGCGCGTTCTCGGTTTAATTTCGCTTTGGTTTTGAACGCCTTGGCAATTTTCGAATCGCTGCGGCTTTAGATCGCCTCCGTGTTATTTTTGTTGTTAATTGTTAACAATAAAACAGAGGAGCAACAACAAATACAACGATGCGTGATGAGACAGTGCGGGCGGTGGTTTTTTTTTGCTTTGGAAATTGAAGTGAGACTAGCGATGGTGGTTCGCTATCGATACATATTCAATAATCGATATATTTAGTTATATTTGTATCGATATATTGTATCGATATCCGTAGTTGTATTCTTTTAATTCAAGAGTTTTTTAAATGTATATTTTTCTGTTTGTTATAAAAAAACAAATCTTTTTTTTAAACGACGCTTTTTTCAAAGTGGCTTGAGACTAGCAGTGTTGGTAGTTTAGCTTATTTCAGGCTAGAGCAATGGAGGTTAAGAAACATCGAAGTATCGAAGACAAAGGATTAAAAAACCATGAAAGTTTTGTTTTAAGAAAAATAATATTGTCTTGAATTAAAATCATCACATATATATTAAGATTAAAGGTAATATGGTATCGTACTTTTTAATAAGCATTAGTTTTTTTATGACATTAGTTTTCTGTCCTTCGCGACGATCGGATTTGATTTGTCCTGCTTTCTTAACCATCATCAGATAAATATGTAAAAACATAGTTTATAAACATTTTTTTAACACATCGCATGTCATTATCTAATATCGATGTTTCCGAATTGATTATTTATAAGCATTACATGATGATGGTTTGCTATCGATATGTATCAATATCGGTTAAAAGTTATTAAAATTATTCATATAATAACACGCCGGACACATGATGTCTATCTACTGTTTTTATGCCTTAATATGTAATACATCTTAAACAAGAATTTCAGAGGCGTTATTTTATTCATGAATTTTTTTTATTCCTATTTATGGCGGAACTGGGTGTACTTAAAAAACTTTGTCGATCTCGAAAACAGCACCCACTGTTAATGAAATTACAAGAATATGTATTTTAAGCAAAGAATTGAAATCTCTAAAAATTAAATATAAAACTCCGTAATCGGCTAAAAGTGGTGCCATTTTCTTAATTGTCTGATAAACACCCAAACACGAAGTCTCGGATTCCTCTGGAGCTAAAAAATTATCCGAGCCAAGGAATACACTAGCCCTTTTTGAACTACGAATTAACAGTATATATTTTGCAATGCCATACTACGATCACACGGGTGGTGCTCCAGTGGCCAACCCAGCTTATCGGCTACGAATCTTACGACTATTATAAAGGTTTAATGCGTTATGTGGATCAGAGCGGTGGGCTTAGTGGGTGCTCAGAACTCGCTGCTCTTGCCGTCGCAGGCCACGATTTTCACCTTGTCCACCTTGACGAACTCGTGCACCTCCCGGAACTCCACATCGTTGAGCATCAGTGTCCAGACATTGTCGCAGAAGCGGTACGTGTTCAGTTTGCCAGCCTTGAAGGTAACCCGGGCCTTGACCCGCTGGTTGAGGGCGTTGTTGATGCTCTTGTCGAACTGCAGAAGCACCTTGAAGGCCAATCCAGGTGTGATCTGTCCGTACTGCAAGACGAAAACTCAGGATTACATTTCGATGCTCCCGCCAGCTGTTACCATTTTGTAGGCTAGCAAACTCTTACCTGAATCAGCTCGTCGAGGCTCTCCTGCAGCGTGTTACCCAGCGTGGTGTTGCGGTATAGTTGGTAGGACATGGTGGCTCCGTTTATTTGTGTTTATTGTTTTTTTAATAAATTTTCACAAAGAACGGAAAAATGCAGGCGAAGCTAGGGCTACAACAACATTCGATGATTTTAATAAAGAATCGATACATAAATATCGCATAAGTCTTAGCGACCGCATTATATCGATAAATTATACCGTCTGGTTGTACCATTTAATTTTTGCAAATATAACAAAATTTAAGTAAATTGTATTATTATACACAGCAACTATTTAATTTAAACAAATAAAAAACAAAATTGTCGATGCTTGCAGTATTTTAATTATTGCTAGTTTCATTAAAAACCACTAGAGGGTTGTAATTTATTCCTCCAGGGGGCGCTGCAGCTGCTAGACTGTTACGTTTAAAAATTAAAAAGGAATATCAGGGAAAGCGAAAAGCAATATCCACTTACGAAACATCGGTCCCAGCACGTTTCTGTGGGGAACTCCATCCTTTATCAGCCTTTGAAAATATACGTTCACATCCTGGACCACCCTAAATGTCCTGTCAGATAGGAAACCCCTAACCATTTTAAATAGGTGCGGGTGAAACAAAAATAGACTTGTCCTTTGCAACTTCATTGTCAATTTGACTTTACTACAGGGCCTTTTTAGCATTTAGGCCCTAATCTTTATGGCAAGAGTAGAAGATCAAGAACTAGGTCTCCGGCTCTTCTGATGAACTGTGGGGTATGAAAGGTATGAAAAATAAGGTAGAGATGATGCAAATATGCTGAGAAATCAAATAATGATTTTATATCCTTTGTTTCTTTGACAGCAAAATGCTATATTTATTCACCCGATCAGGCTTGTTTCTCTTATAATCTATCAGTAATGCAAAGAAGACTTTAAAAATAGTTTCAGTGCTCGAAAACTGGTTTTCGCAAACTGACGTACCTGACATAATTGACTTGGCTTGTGATGCTGATCAGGTAAAAAAAACTTTATACTTTATAAGGTTGAAGATTCCACCCACTATATATGCACCCTTTGACCAATGAGTATAAAAATAAAATACATCATCCCAGAAATTGTGCAAAAAGCACCATAATAAAATACTCGACTGTGCAAATAATAATCAATCAAGCAAGCGTATATATGCATATTTGGGAAAGGTGATTTCCCTGTTATCAGTGAATCCCATGTGCTTACCCTGTCTGTAGACGCTTGAGCTTAGGTTTGAACAGATAAAGAAACCGGTATTAAAGAGGCAAACGAATTGAATAAATTCAATAAACAGATTTCAGTCTCATCGGAATCACCGCTCGACGCAGTTCAAAAATTATAAGATGAGTAAGTGGGTTCTCGCCGTACTGCTCCTGTGGAGCTATTACATTGCTGGAATATCTGGAGAAGAAGGTAAGCGTTCTGCTTTAAATAAATATTTTGAGATTTTTTGTTTGTTTTCTTTGAAAAATTCCCAAAACATGAGATTATTGGGGGCACTGCAGCCCATCCCAAAAAGTTCCCTGCGGCAGCACGTCTGGGTTATCGCGACAAAACACGGAATCAAACCACATGGTTCTGCGGTGGAACATTGATTAGCAAGCGAGTGATTTTGACGGCTGCCCACTGCTTCTACTCGGATATGTAAGTGCTTAATAATTAAAAATGCACTTAACTGTAATTTAAAAAACATATATGTCCAGTGGATCGGTGAATGTGGTGCGATTGGGAGAACTTGTGTTCGGCAGCGACAAAGACGATGCCCAGCCGGAGGATTTCGATGTATTAAAACGAGGGAGCATCCTGATTTCAAATATCCCGTACTCTACAATGACATAGGACTCGTCCATTTGAGTCGGGATGTAGTATTTAATCAGTACAAGATTCCCGCCTGCCTGCCCTACACCAGCGGACAGCAGCTTCGATACTTCATTGCCATCGGCTGGGGCCTAACACACGCTGCCCGAGGTCAGCAGTCCAAGGAACTGAGAAGGGTGGACCTTCAAAACTATGGAGTGGCATGCGAGCGAACCACAGAACCATTCGAGGAGCTGCCCAATGGATTCAGTGAACTGACCCAGTTGTGTGTAGGATCTCCACAGCACAAGGACACCTGCAACGGCGACTCGGGAGGACCCCTGCTCATTCGTCATATCGGTAAAGGATGCGCCTACCAAGTCCTTGGTATAACTTCAGTGGGCATTGCCTGTGATACTCCGGGCATTCCGAGTTTGTACACAAAGGTTTTTCACTACCTCGAATGGATACGAACTAATATGAATGTTATTTAAATTTTAAATAATTATTAAACCATTAGTGAAATTAATTAATAATTGTATAGGGAATAGATCTTCATAAAAATTTATGACTTGACAATAAAACGCAACAATTTTTCCATTTAGTTCTCTTTTGTTTTTACTTTTTATTTGTTTTGTGTGTGGTTTTCCGCTAAGAGTGATTTCGTTTCTTGTTTTTCCGTTTTACAATTATAATTTTACAATAGTTTCAACTAAATAAATAATAACAATTTATAAATATAATTTCTCTTACTTCCTTCCTTCCCGTACATCGCATGCTCGGCTTGTTTATAAATAATTTGATCGCTTCCAGTTCTAAACAACACTTTCGGGCATAAACAATAAATGGAAAAATCAGTGCTGGCTGATTTTTTTGCTTTTGATTTGATGTTTAATTTGCTTTCTTGATCATTACGCGGTGTGTTCAACTTAGTGGCTATAAATACCAGCTAATGCTACCTAAATACATATATATATAAATATATAAAAATAAAGGTCGAGTCTACAAATTGCAACGAAACAACAAAAAAAAACCTATAGAAACCGAGGATCTATATGCAATAAATAAATACTTAAGTACTAACATCAGTAGCTTTGTGGTGTTCACTATGTACAAAACAATGTCCAGTTGTCTAAGAAGCCAAAAACCGATTTGCTTATTATGTTTAGAACCCTCCTCTCATCTTTTTTGTAACTCGATTTCCATTAACATCTCTTGCTGTTTTATTGTCTATTTCAAAGCGCCGCCCGGCGCGACGCAACTAAGCGGGGGAGTCTGGCTGTGAATCTGGTAAAGAATACATACGAAACAAACTCCGGCGGCTGAGGATGACATCTATACGTATAACACTAAACACTATACTCTGGTATCGTATGTATGGATAGCTTTTGGGATAAGCCCTACTCGACTACTTGTGCCCGATGACGAGCGTGTAGTTGGCTGTGCTGACTGTCGACGACAACGCCGACAGTGCTGGTCATTTGGCCAGCTTGAGGATCTCAGTTCGGCCAGTCGCAGTGGCCGTCGCAGTTGCTCCCACTCCCACTCCCACTGCCGCTCCAGTTATCGGTCCAACTCCCGATCCCGTTGCAGGTGGAGCCGGTGCAATGCGTATGGGCTTGGCTCGCTGTTGCTGCTGAGTGAAGAGGCCACTCAGTGTGGCGGCTGTGCTGGCGGTCAGCATCATGCTGGAGCCACCACTTGTGTTGCTGGCCTGGCGCTTGCTCCGCGCCAGTCCATTTATTTTGTTGTTCGTTGAAGAGGGCGACTGCTGCTGCTGCTGCTGCTGAAGATGATATTGTTGTTGGCCGCCAATTATGGCTGAAGCAGCGGCACCAGCAGCCGCTGCTGATGAGGATGAGGATGAGGATGTGGCTGTGGCTGCGGCTGCAGCGGGTGTCGAGGAGGCTGAAATGTTATCCAACTCAGTCATTGCTTCTTGTATGGCCCGCTCGAGTTGCGAGTTCAGTTTGCGGCTCCTTTCGTGAGGTGTGTGTTGTATGTGGTTGAGTTTTTGGTTTCAGAGGTTGGTTTGTTGGTTCGGGTATTCGGGTATTCGTTGGGGTTGTTGGTTGGTCATGATGATGATGATGATGATATTGCATACACACACATGGAGTTACACACACGTTGGGGTGTTGGCAGAGGGCAGGGTTTAATTTCAGGTTTTGGTTCAGCGCATTAAAAATAAAGAAACAAGAATATTAATTAGCAAAATTAAAAGAGTCAATGTGTGTAAATAATTAATAAATTAACTAAATATGCATTTAAATGCCAATTTAATTGATAAATATCAGAAATGTAAAACAAATCAGAAATCTAGCTACTTTTGTCCAAGGCTAAGCAAATGTAAAGGCTGCAAATAAATAAACTACAAAATAATCTAAATTGCACATTTAAAAATTGCAAAAATTAACTACAATTCTATGAAAACTTAACTACAACAATATCAAAAATTTGTTTTTGCAAAACATTGTAATGAAAAAACAATATCTAAATAAAAATACTCAGGAATTCAACGATATACACAAAGGGGTGCCACAAAAACAGCTGTGCTAAGATGTACAAAAATATTCTAAAGGATTCCATAAAATAAAGCATAAGTGATTAGAACTATCAATAATTATAATACCCTGCAAGGGTATAAAGATAAACAATTCAAAAGTTGATTTAGAAATATTTCTGTGGCATCCTTAATATAAAAATAATAACAAGATTGAGCTACATTGCTGGTGTTCTGGTGCTCCACCGAAAGACAAAGGTTCCCTCAAATCCACTTGCTGTCCCTGAAAGCTATAAAAAGATCCCCCTGTTCTGTGATCCCACCCCACCCAGCCTGCGATCGATGCTCACTTTCTCGTATCCTTTTGGGCTTTGTGGTGCGCCTCGAGACCCTCGGAGAGACTTTGCAACGAGTTGACCGGTATGAGTTCGGAGGTGGAGCGACCGCCGCCGCCGAACCATTGGACCCACACATGATCAAACTGCTGCGACGGCGTGCAGACTCCATCCGGCATCTTGACGATCTTTCCGGGCCAAGCGGGATGGCCACGAGCTGGACCCCAGATCAGTTCTCCAATGGCAAAGGAGCGGGGCGGCATTAGGGAGTTACCAGTTGACCCGGGTGTGGGCATGGCACGAGCTGCTCCTCGCTGTGGTCGACGCGAGCGCTTGGTCGGTGTCCTGACCGTCTCGACGACGGCTGGCACTGCATCTGGTATTGGAGTGGCTGCAGTTGCTGTTGTTGTGGGCGACTCTACGAAAGGCACACACTCACATAGAGACTTTGGGGCTATGGCTTTGGTTACTCAGTTACAGGGGTGATCCCAGGCACCAGCGGGGGACAAGGGTTACAACTAAAAAGAGGTGCAGGTGCAGGTGCAGGCGGTGTTCATGCAGTAGCCAAATGGTAGGTAGTGTGGTGGCAGTGGGTTAGAGTGTGGCGGATGCAGTTAGTGCTGGTCACCGATGGGGCCTTACCCTGGTAGTCAATGTTAACTACTTTGTGGCTGTGGATGAGGGTGTTGTTGGGGTTGCTGTTCGCCAGCTGGCGGTGCACAAATTGGCGGTGACCCGCCACAGCAGTGGTTGTTAGTGGGGTTGCCGACGACGACAACGATGATGACGACGACGACGTTATGGACATGGAGGCGGATGCGGATGATGTGGAGTTGATGTGTCGCATACCTTGTCCCTGCATCAGACTAATGCCGTTCTCCGTGGCTCCCTGTGAAGTGATGTGAATCCGCCGGATCTTGGGCTCCGAGTGCTTGTATATCCCGCTGGGCTGGGTGAATAGATTGTTGTTGCAGATGCCTAATGGGGGAGGAATAGGAAATTAGTATAAGAGATCTGCAAGGATTCAAGTTATGTCATATCCTTCCTTTACACTTACTCCTCTCACAATCCGTGGACGAGGGCGACTGCCGGCTCTCGGCACTTTGCGGCGACACAGCCGCATCCGGCTCCGAACTGGACACGCATTGCACCTGCCAAGACAAAAATGGTTAGGTTTTCATAGAACTAAGAAGCTTCTAAACACTCACCATATCGCTGCCGCTGCTTCGATGGCTGGGCGGTCGTTCAGGACTCCGCGGACTACAGGTGGTGGTATCCGGTGGACTGGCTGCTGCTGTTCCCTGGCGACTCATCATCGCCGACTCGGTCACATATGTGGTGGTCTGTGCAGGTGCAGGCTGCAGGCTGATCTGCGTGTGCGGCTGTGGAGTTGGTTGCTGGTGCTGGATCTGGATGGTGGTGGTCGTGGGACTAGCCTGCACGAAGGAAGCACCGCTCTGCTGACCTGTCGGCATCACCAGACCCATGGGCGTGGAGTAGATCTGACCAATGGGGCTCAACTGGCCATTAGCACCCACTAAGTACTGCTGACCCCCAGCGCTGGGCGAGATGAAGGATGGCTTACTCTGCGGCGATGGTGTACGCAGCATTACTGGCCCTTGTGGTGTGAGTAAACTAGTCGTGGGCATATTCTGGATCTGCAGTAGTGTGGCATCGGGTGCCATCACCAAGCCAGCAGGCATCAGCAGCTGCTGTCCAATAAGGTTCACCTGCTGCAGGATCTGACCGTTCTGGAGGAGCAGCTGCTGGGTCTGCGGAGCTGCTGTTGGATTCGGCTTATTCACCACGATGCCCTGAATGCCGGGGCTAAGTTGGAACTGCTGGGGAATTGAGGAGTAGCTGCAGCCGCCGCTGCTGCTGCTGCTGCTGCCGCCGCCTGCTGGTGGAGCAGGGCGGGTGCCTGGCTGGGGATGCTGGGCGAGATCTGTGGCGATAGTGTCTTGGCGGGTGAACTCGGCGGCGGTGTGCTACAGATGGAGCTCTTGCGCTTCCGCGCCCTTCGCTTGTTGTCCGGCGAACTGATGATCAGGGTTTGCGCTGGAGGCGGCTGCGGCATGGCCAGGAGTTGCTCCGCCTGCTGTTGGGTCTGTGTCTGATGCTGCTGCTGCTGTTGCTGGACGATGTAGCCGCCGTTGGGCAGTGTGTTCAGCAGGACTGCGGTCTGCTGCTGGTTCGAAGCTCCTCCGGCCGCTTGGTTGATTTGTCCCGCCTGCGAGGTAATGATCTGATGGTGGAGCAGCTTGGCCCCACCAGAGTTAAGGATGACTGTGCTGCTGCTGCTGCTACTGCTGCTGGAACTGGCCGCAGCCACTGGAGACGGCTGGCTAACGATGTAGCCACCGCCAGGCTGTGGATGCAGCTCCGCTGTCTGCTGCTGCTGCTGCTGCTGAATGATGACACCACCTTGTCCCGGCTGACCCGGGCGATGGTGCTGCTGCGGCTGTGCCTTGTTAGTGGGAATGACCAGAAGCTGGCCCGAAGAAGTCATAATCAGTTGGCCACCGCCACCAGAGGCACCCATGGCCCCGGCCATTGACTGCAGCTGTGCCACTGCAGAATTCGAACTGCTCAAGGTGGTGGTCACCGGGCGTGCGGTCAACGTGCCCGTGCCTGCCGTGGAGGTCACAATGCTCCTGGTCAGCGTGGCCATGGCGCACTGCTGCTGGCCACTGGCAGCCGCTGGCCAGAAATAATATGAGCCTGCTGATGCTGCTGTTGTTGCTGGCGCATCACGCGGAGGTGGGCGGGAACAGTGATGGGCGCTGGAGTCGGAAGATTGCCCTGGGCCTGTGTGCGCATCTGCAGCACCTGCGGCTGGATCTGGACCTGCATCTGGGGTTGGGCGAGGCGGAGGGCGTGCTCTTGGCCGAATCCAGTGAATCCGTGGGAGAGGAGAGGCTTTGCCGCGGGCTCTCGTGGCTCGTGGAGATGGCACCCACCTGCTCGGGTCGCTTCTCAAGCGGCGGCGTCTCTGCCGCACTGCTGGAAACGGGCGACTCCTGGGGAGCCGGCACCACAGTTACGCTGGTTATCTGCGGTTTCTGAGGACGCGCAAATGCTGTGTCCACCTGCAGGGATCGGGCTCCGGCATGGGAGCACTTTGTGGACTGCTCACGGGCACTGGTTCTGCTTCCCATTTGCCAAAGAGCGATAGCCGTCGCATCCTCTGGCGCTGCAGTTGCTGGAGTTGCTGCTGTTGCTGCAGCTGCAGCTGCTGCTGCTGCTGGAGCTGTGCACGATGGGTTCCTGGGGCAGGGCTCGAGCAGAGATGTTGCCGCACTGTCTTGGTAATATCCAAACCCACTCCTCCCAGGGAATTGTGCAACAGTGCTGTTTGCTGCTGCAGATAGCCAGCGGGATCGTCCTTAAAGTTTGGCTGCTGCTGCTGCGTAAGGGTGTTGCTGTGGAGACAGGAGTTGCTGGAGGCGGCTTTATCACATGTCCCGCCGCCGAACGCTGGAGTACAGCTCCGCCAGCTGAAGCTCCTCCGCCCAATGCTAATGATTGACTAGTTGGCACCGCACTCGACAGCGGAAGCGGAAGCGAGGACGTCGCTGTGGATGTGGGCGTGGGCGTGGTCGAGATCCGGACCGAGGCAGGTAATTTGTTATTGCCATATTTGTGGCAATCAGCGTCTGCAAATGGAGCAACAAATTGAAAAGGCAAAGTCAGTGAAAGGTCAAGACACACATCCTCTCTTTCCCGCACAGTTTGTTTATGCAAAGCGCGTCGCGTCCTTAAAGTGCCCGCAACGTGTCCGAGAACCCCACCGAGAGCAAAAGCCACCCACAAAGGTCGGGTAAAGTTTGAACATCGAGGCGGAAAAGGGATACGACCCGAATTAAATCAGAGCACACGGACAGCCAGTCAGACAGACAGACGTTCGGCAAAGGTTCCACTCCACAAAACAAAAAGAAATGTTGGACTGGTTTATAAGCGTAAGCATATAATGGCAGACTTATAATTAAAAAGGTTTACCTCCCCCAAAAATACAAAAGGCCAGCGATGCAGGCCAACCACGGAGAAATTTAAATTCATTTAGCTAGGCAGGCAGCAAAGGACGACTCCTAGTAAATACTCGCCACACCCACACAGACCGCATCCTGGCCAGCCAAAGGGCGCCACTCCACACCCCAAAACAGCGATGGTTCGCGAAAATTTCTAAATCGCGCAAAACTTTTGCTTTGTGCGGGCGGTTTTAATGCGACGCTGATTGGACTCTCCACCCCGGGAGGATTGCAAGTGGATGGTTTTGAGGATTGCTCCGTCTGGGCTGCATAGTACACACAAGGATACAAGGATACAAGGTGTGGTGGCGGCCGGCAGTGGACGCGCTCAAGCAAACTTTTGCCATCAAGTCCCTTTTGTTTCAATTAACCTTTTCATTTTAAAGTTTTTAACAATGTTTGCCAAATGTTGAGCTGAGCGGGGACTATCTTCTCTCCCTTCCGCAAGGAATGGATGAATGAATGAATGAATGAATGAATGAATGAGTGAATATGGGAGCAGCTGCGAAACCCTTTTCCCCCCAATCGGCAACAGTTTTGCAGTGCTGTTTCCCCCTTTTTGCTCCCTCCAAATATCTCAAATGGAAATCAAATTGCTTTGAATTGCTGGAAGAAAAACCCTTTCAGAAACTCAACCCGCCTGCGGCTGTTGCAGATAACAGCGTAGTTCGGGATGCTGAATTGCTGCGGTGCGGTGTCAATGGAAGGGAAAGTTTCTGCAAGTCCTGTTTCCCTGTTGATTGCAAACGGATGGGGAATCCAATGCAAATAGTCCTGCGAATTATTTATAAATTTCAGCAGTAGCCTTTGGAAAAGAGTTTAAGAAAACTCAAATACAAAGGCTATTTAGGATGCAAGCAGGAATGAGGAATTGCTTCTGGTTAAAAATGTTGTAATATGATTTGATAATGGTTAAAATATTTGCACAAAATAAACATTCATTCATTCAGTAATTGTTACCAGTACATAGAAATGCAACATTTTGAAAAAATCGAATGCATTTATACAATTTCATTAAAATCTAATCTCTTTATAAAATGCATACACTTGCAGAGTTATAGTATTCAATAAACCCTCCAAGAAAGCAAGAAAATCGTTAAAACTAAACTAAAGTTTTGGTGTATTGACTAATTGGCTTCCTGCGAGACAGAAATCACCAAAGAAGAACTTTTCCAGTTTTTCCTCCCCCTCCCCCTCTTTTCGTGTCACCTTCAAAAGCTGCTACTGCTCTGTCCAAGGACCATTCCAAAGAATCCCAGTGCTTAGAGCAAAGCTGTTCAAATTGCTTGGAGCGTTCTCAAGTGTAAATGGCAGCAGTTGGGGGTCTTTAATAAACATAACATTTATTTATCATGTTGCTTCGCTCGATTTAAAGCGCCTGCAGCGGGGGAAAAGCGAGAGGGAAACCGGGAAACTAGGGAAACCCAATGGGTGGCTGTTTTTAGGGAGGAGACGAAGGAAGTCTTTGACTAACGCGTTGTTTTGTCGGAACGCGTCAAGTTCCTTTGACTGGCGTCACACAAAGGACAAAATCAAAACAAGCTGGGAGAATGGATGAGTTGAATGGGGACAGTCAGCCAGTAATGTGTGGGGTTCGGGAAGCAACCGAAATGCACTTCCTGCCCAGAACCCAGAACCCAGAAACCAGTGCCATCCCCCCTAGTAAGCTTGTTGAACTCGCCGCTTTCGCCGTGTGTTTGTGTTTGTATTTGTGTTTGTTTGCCTGTGTTTGCCTTGCCTTTTTTTTGTATCCTTTCCATCCTCCTCGACTTCTTCCACCTCTGTATCCTGTGCATCTATCTGTTTTTCTCACTCTGCTGCTCTGTATAGCTATGGGTTTTTGTGTGCAGTTTCACTTTATCATTGTCTAGGCATCGTTTTTCACTTGGCAGCAGAAGCAAAAGCAGCCACAGTCAACATCGAGCACCTTTTCCCACTGCATTCACACACACAACACACCCCATATCACGTGTGTGCTGCTAACAGGTGAGGTCACAAAATTGGAACTATTGAACGATTAAGTAAGCTTCCTTTGGGGGTTCCCAAAAGGATAAAGTTTATACAGGCCTTGAGGTAGTCTTAATGTATCTTTTGTGTAGGAATTTCAGTGCTACATTTAAGCCTGTTCATTATAATTTTGTATAATTTATTGCAATTAGTAATTGCTATTTAAATGTTAAAATAAAACTGTACAAAGCTTGTATATAGCTTAATACATATATTCATACATTCCATTAACTTCTTATTATTAATTTTAGTTGTTTAATTAATTTTTCCCCTTGCTGTTAAGAAACCTTTATGACTTTTCCTAAATATGTATCTTTAAAGCCATCATCTTAACCCCAACTGTAGACGAGCTGTTTCCTTGTGTGTGTGTGTTTGTGTGTTCATAGCAATTGTGTGCACTTCCTGCTGTGCTCCATTTTGGAATGGCTTTACTTAGGATTTTCCTTGGCCCAGCCTGCACTTTTCGCACGTATCTACACTAGTTTTCCTTTCGGCCTGACCTCACCTCCGGCCATATCCTTCTCCTTCCGCAACCCATCTCAGCTCACCCTGTGCATCCGTCGTCGTCATCGTCGTCTTCGTCTTGTTCGTCGTCAGTCGTTGTCGCTGTCGTCGTTTTTATTGGGGTTTTCGTTTCGTTTCTGCTTTTCTTTTTTTTTACTTTTGCAGTTGCGCAAAAATGCAGGCATCACATTTTTCTATAGCATGCTTTTGAGCGCTGCAAATGTTCTTCCCCAAGGGGCGCTTTGACAGCCAGGGTTGCCATGGCGCCGATAAATAAGGCAAAAAAGGCGGTATGTCACTGTAGCAAATCTCATACAGAAACTAGCGAATTAAAAAAGTCTATTTTATTGTGTGGTGCAAATAAGATGCCTTTTCGATCTCATTAAAAAGTTGTAAATCTGTATTTTTACAAGTTATTATAATAAACTTGACAGCTCTTGATAAAAATGTACTTTATGTTTGTAGTGTTTTCTGAACACCTCATTAGAAACAAATATGTGGCTGTTTCTTTCAGTACGTTAAATAAATAAGAATTAAGCAATACATTCTCTAAGTTGCCATCTTGACTAACTTTTAAACAACCTGACAACCCTGGCCCAATCATATATAATCCCAGATGATAAGTACGATTTTTCAAGTATTTATACAGTTCATTTGATATATTTTCCTCCCCACTCACCTTTGTTGGCCAATTCAAGTGCGGTGGCTATTGCCGATGGGGCTGTTGATGTGTTGCTGCTGCTGCTGTTGCTGCTGCGGGGGATGCTGAGGAGGAGGCTGTTGTCGTCGTCGTTCTCGCTGTCGATGTCATCAGTGTGGAGAAACATCGCTGACAGTTGCTGCTGGTCCAGATGTGGCTACGGATACCGATACGGACACATCTTTGACAGCCTGCTGTTGTTGTGGCTGCTGATGCTGCTTTAGATTTTGGGATTGCTGCTGCTGCTGATGCTGCGGTTGCAGCTGCTGAGATTCAAGAAATCGCCGCTGGTGCAGGCAAGGTGTTGGCATTGACGCCTCCGTCGGCAACTTGAGCGGCATATTGGGCACCTGTAATTAGCAAAAGGCAACAAATTGGCATAATTAGTGGAAATGCTTTGCAACAATCAAATTAGGCGCCACAGTCACCCACCGAAGCCCGCAAACCAACACAAACGATGACGTGGAGACCGCACTGGCTGTCAAATATGAAATCGAAAATTTAATCAGCGCACTCGGAATGCCAAATACTCCAACCCCCCGGGTCCACTCCACCCAACCCCGGAGCACACACATCGCAATAGCATGGGGAACAACCGCACACTCCAGGGGAGTGTGAGAGCTCGCTCGCTATTAATTTGCATGGGGAAACGTGAGTCGCATTCGTTAAAAATTAGATAAGCGCTTGGGGCGCCATTTGGCATTAACGTTTTTATACCCTTCAATTAGAAAATACGCCTCGGCTAATCTACGAAATGTTGCCTCACATAAAGGTCTATTATTTTGGCTAATAAATTTTAATGCCTTGAGTTTCCGGAACTTTAAGAGTTGATTTATGTGCATTACCAACGACACTTCCTTCGAAAGTACATATAATTAATATGGTATACTACAGGGTTATGACACTGTACCCTAAATTTCCTTATTTCAGCTTTGTATTAATGATATAAAGCATAAGTCCAAACAAAACTTTAAGTATAACAAATTATTTCAGGGTTTAATTCACAAATGTGTTTAAGAAATATTTTTGTAGTGAAAAAATCTGCATTAATTCAATTTTGGTCATAGGGTAATAGCCCAGAAAAAATTCCTCATATCTAGAAAGCTAAGTTGGATTATAGGATAAATATATTTTACAAAAGATAATTTTAAATATTCTTAATATTTACTTTTGAGCTGAATTTATTATTGTACGTTACTGTAGTGTAGCAACTTATACAATAGTGAGCTTAAATATTCTTTATTTGTTTTTCTGTAATAAATTGATACAGATTATTTTGGGTTTACGCTGCTTATATTTTATTAGATTAATAGCAGTTTTACTACAGTTTCATAACTGCAGAATTATCACTTTATTCGGAATACTAATGTAATAGTAAAAACTAAAAGCATATATGTACATATGGTTGTAATGAAAAATCTGTTTAGTTTAGGTTCATATTACAACTCTAATTAAAAAATTGTAGTGTCTTAATAGCATAAAATCCATATATGAAAGAGAATAATCAAAATATGACATATTTTTAACTTGTTTTTTCTGTAATGAACATACAACGGATTATTTGTGTATTCCCCGAAATCAGTAAACTCTCTGAGCTAAATTAACTTAGATTTTGGCCACATTGTAAATTCGAATTATTACCGCGCAGAGAACTCCCTCCTCCCGCATTTGTGTGCAAATTGATGAGTCAAAACATTGGGTTGATTACTTTGGAACACGACCTTGGGCCCCGGGGCCTGGGCACAGCACAGTCCAATTAGCATTTTGTAAATGAATACCCGGCGACTACGCCGACTACGAAGCCTCGGCCGAGTACACATGTAATCCAATCAAATGCATCAAATTCTCATTATCGAGTTGGGCTTTGGGTGAGATCAAAAGACCTGGCAAATGTGTTGCCATGGCGACCGCAGAGGTACCCCTTCCGCAGCTTCCAGTCCACCTCCACGTCCTCATCCTCGACTTGCTTTGGGGCGCAGCAGGTGCGCATGGAATTTATGCAAATGAATCGGCCGGCAAAGGTTTCGATTTGCAGGTCTCCGCCCGCCAAATCAGCTCATCCTCCTTCGCTTTTATGAACCATGACGACTAAGAGGAGGGAGTTTGGGACGGTGAGGTGGCTCACGGGGATGGAGACGATGATGGACGACCCTTTTGGGACCGTGCACTTTTTGCCATTTCAATCAGTGGATGGCAATTGCTTCATTGGCCAGCCAAGCGCTGGAAACGTGTCGCAACCATTTTTGGGTCAGCAATTTGTACAAAACACTCGGCAACTCGGACCATTTAGGATCCGGCACTGGCACTGGTACTGGCTCAGGCGGAACATTTAAGTGAACATTCCGCAGACCAAAGTTGGTTATTAAACATTAAAATGTTTCACTGCCCCTCATCCTGCTTCCTTCCTCCAGCTCTCTCCTCTCTGGCTTTGCTTTTTATAGCACTGACCGAAAGACCAAGGGACCAAGGAAAAGGAGCAATTGAAGGAGGCCATGAAGTGGCCCAAGTAACCTGACAAACGACCCGAGGAGCAAAGCCCAGGGGGAACCCGATGGTGTACTGTGAGCCAAGTGCTGAAATTAAACGAATCATTGGCGAATAAGTAGAGGATAATGAAACGTGAAACTGGAGGCCATCTCTCTGGGGTGAATTGCGTTAAAGCTTAACTCTACGAGAAAAACAGAGAGTGAGAGAAAGCCAATTTATTCATAGTGTGAAGGGCAAGAGTCTATTAATTTGCCACGCCCTGTTGGTATAAAATAAATCCATTAGGTACATTCATTTCAAACTGAAATCCCAGCCAAAATCCCCATTCCTGGATGTCTGCTGCCTTGGTTGGTGCAACTTGTGCTTCTTGTTGCTTCTGCCTCTTGATGCTGTTGCCTTTGTGGCAGCTTCAAGTGCTGTTTTTGTTGCAGCTTGGCTATGCCACTTAGTCAAAAGGCAGTTGGCGTCCGTCTTTGCCGCAGAAAGCAAACATAATTTCAACTTTTGAAATGCAATAAAACCGCAGCTCATCCCCCCTGGAAACCAACACACACACACAGAGAGATCCTCCGGGTTAGAGGCACTCCTCATCCTCCAGCTCATCCTCCAGCCCCTTATGGCAAACAAACAAACAAACAGACAAACAAATGGATGTAGAACATTTCGCATTTGCCAACTGGGTCGCCTCTGCCATGATGATGCTGGCCGGGCTCTGGATTGGGGTTGTTGTTGGGGGTAGATCTCCTTCCAGCCGTGTCTGCCTGGCAAATTATATTCGTATATATAATAAATGGTGAAAACAAAAAATTACACAAATGCAAATGCAAAAGCTGCAGTCAAACGTTGCCATACCAATGGCAGAAGCTCTCGGCTCTGGCGCTCCTCTGGTTTTCATCTGGTGGAAATTCGATGCGAGTTTCAAACATAACATCCAAATTTAATTGGCATTTAATGGAAAAATAATTAAGCAAAAGCCGGGCACGTCCTGCTGCAGCTTCTGTTGTTGACAGCAAGAGGAGCACACCATTGGTGCAGCACCTTTTGTTATGATGAACGACTTTTTGATTACTCGCACAAATTTGCATTTGTATAACTTTGCATTAACTTAGTTCATTTATGAAGTAATAAATTGGATTGCATTTGAAAGAAACAGGTTCTTGATTGACAAGATTTCCTGTATTTGTTTTCACTCTGGCATTTCTAAGCTAATTTTTTCTAGTAATCTTTTCTTTCTACTTTATAATTTATTTGATGTCTAACTTACTCATTTTTATCGGATAGGATTTAAGTGCATAACACGTTAAATATACATATATCATGATAAATTCTAATTTACTTTTGTTGTCTTATGATTAAAATATGAATAATAAATGTTTAAACAAGTTAATTATTTAGTGAATTCAGTTTATACCTCTCGCATTTGCTTTTATGAAGTATCTATCATCTCTTGAGGTTCTTAAAAGTAAATATATTACTTTACATTATTAAAACGCTTCTAAATACGTGGTTAAATCTCAATTTAGTACAGAATACTTGCAATACCGATTGTATCCATCTTAAAACCCAAAATGTATTCATTAATTTTGCAATAATTTGTACCCGCTTTTCTTGGCAATTGGTTTTCCATGGCTGCATTCATTCATGGCCCAAACCGAGCATATCCCATTGGATATGCTGCACAGCATAATGGCCACCAAAAATGGTTATTAGCAGGAACAGAAGCAAATCCAGCGAAGCGTTGAGGCGACACGTTGACACTCCACACACACTCACTGAGCGTGCGGCTAATGAATACAACCATTACACACATGACCATACATATAATTGAAAATATATGCATATACATAAATTCGCTATTTGCACAAACCAAAGTGTCCATATATGCACATATATATATATAGTGAATATTTGACGTATTAACTGGGCTTATTCCGGGCTGAGAAGGAGTGGGAGTTGTGGGCGTGTTACACACGCAACAAAATGCAAGCGAAAATGCCAGTGAAATACCAACAAACATTGCACTTTTGCATGCATAATTGTGAAAATTAAAACGAAACTCAGGCAGACATTCAAGCGTTAGGGGCGGTTCCATGTCCATGTGGGGAGCAGTGAGGAGTTGCTGACCAGGGGGTGGCCATGCCCGAGTCCAGCCGGAGTGTCCACGCCGTGGCAATATGCAAACGAGATGGGCGAGACTTATGCTGGCGGCGGATGAGGGGGTGCAGGTGCAGGTGCGAAGCATGCACAGGTGCACCGTCGGTGTTGGGTTTCATTAACGTCATAATGACTGTCGGGCGGCTGACTGCTTTAATCCTTTGTCGGGGTGGACTCCTGCCCCTGTCCAGGGCTTTTACCAGCAGCTCTCAACTCGGACACGGACACGGACTCTGCTCTGGCTCTGGCTCCGGCTCGGGACCTGGACACGGACCTCCTTCGGGCAATTGTGCGCGCACTCGCAACAGGAACTTGCGGCGCTGCCGGATATGAGTAATCGCTCAGTCACGTCGCCATTGGAGAGTCCTGCAGCAAGATTTTCCTGTCAGACCCGGCTCCTTCTCCTCCTGCTGGCACACCGACAACTCGTGGTCGTCCCAGTGCAGTGCATGACGTAACCCACAGCGGAAATCGCTCGATGGTCGCGGGACGGGCGGGCAAGCGTGCGTGCAATTCCCTGGTTAATGCTCGATTCTCTGCTTAGTTTCACGGCACAGAGTGTCCTGGCAGGATGCCATTTAAACTAGATTGAAATGCAGAAGCCTTGAAAGAACCCACACATTTCACCGCCCTGGCATTGGAACTCGCTTTAAGCGGAAATTAAATCAAATTGAAGCGACAGTGCACATCAGTGAACAGGAAATGCAGT